GACAAATTTCCCAACGTACGGTCTCCGATTTTCTTCTTGTGGCCCAGATGATGAGCTGCCTCTTGAGTTTTCTCACTTCATCCCCCTGGTTACCGATGGTCCTTGTCTCTGGTGTCCGGCCCTTGCAGCTTGCCTCCACACGTTTGTCGCTCTCGTGGTATTCTCTGTGATTCTCCGAGGAGCCATCGTACTGGAACAAGAAGTAACAGCATAGAGTGAATGGACGAAGTGAGACAGACCTTATACTCAGGGGCAGATACAGAACTCCATTTGGGGGGGGGGGGGGGGGAGGGGGGGGGGGGCAGAAAATTTGTAAGGACACTATTCTCCCCTTCTTTTGTGTGCACCGGGGGTCCAGCCATGTCAAATTGCCCTCCGGGAAGGGGGAGGGGAAATCTACTTTGTTTGGGGGGGCGGCCGCCCATGTCGCCCCCCCTTAGATCTCCCCCTTGGATCCGTCCCTGCTTATACTTCTAAATTAGATAAGTACTAGGGGTCTTACAGCATGATGTGCCAAGCGGAGATAAATTATGCCTCGAGCTTGGACGGGGGGAGGGGGGGGGGGGGGGGGGGGGTCTTGATGCATGCTGAACGACAGGTGCCAGATGCTACCATACCCACAGGGTATCCTGAGGAGAGAGAGAAGACAGGTGTGAGTCCAGGAAATTGGCATGTTTGAGCAATACTTTTTTTAGAGGTGCCTTACCGTTAATTCCCTTCAAGGGACATCCATCTGACTAGTTAATTCAGAATTATGTTCAATGTACCCAGTCAACTTGCTTAGCCTGTTTGCAAATATATAACAACTGGTAAATTCACTTTTTATAATGTTGCGTGTTATTTTTGTTTTGTTTTTTATATCTTATACTATGATGCCAACTTTTCTTTTATGGTTTTATAGATTAGCAAACCCCAGGTTCGCTCCTGATCCGCGTCATTTGCCACAATATTTATATATTTCCGGGTAAAGTGGTGTGAAAGCTTCGATACGTGGAGGTTGCGCGTAAATAAGCAATTCATTACGTTCGACCGTTTTACAAGTCACGTCCGACGCACATACGACTAAGAAATTAACCGAGTCACATACACTGCGTTGGAGAAAAGACGATCGTGCCATGGCCTGACGCGAAGGACAGCACGAGCACTTTAAAATGTTTGCACTCACCAGCAACGAACTTGAAGCGGAATCCCGGAATCTCGAACGGCGAAGCGAATCCCCGGCTTTCTGGCTTCTTGCCTGAGCAGGCCCATTTAGAACACATCCATAGCGTGATTCGGTAACTCACGTGTTATTAAAACGCCAAGCGAGGCTCCAACCGAAAGGGAAGTGCACTAGGAAAGAGAAATTCGCAGAACAGCACCACCGACAACGCCGTCAACGCGACCGGCCACTGATCTCTATGACAATTGCTGGATCGCGCTTCCCCGCTTGTTCGCTGCAGCGCAAGTGAAGCCACCGGGCTTCACTCGCTTGGGATACGATTTGCCGTTTTTGCTAGCCTTTGCTGCGGTTTTCCAGCGTGCTGACGACACGTTTTCTACTCGTTCGTCGTCATTCGCCGAAGAAGTTTTTTGAAGACTCTGTGTATTGTTGAGACTTGCCGTTGTGAACACGTGGAAAATTTTACGAAAGTGCAGTGTCGCAGGAAAAAGGCACAATGCGTCGAAAGGAAGGGCTGGCGGCGTGTTCAAAGGTTCCTTGGCACGCCGAAGTGCCGTGCCTCTGTGCCTTCGCACGCTTGGATACCGACCAAGAACCGACGCCGTGTGTATGTGTTCAGCGAGTGCAATGTGCGTGAAGCTGTTCGTGCCTCTGGATCAGCGTCTTTTCCTCTCGCGGTTTAGGAACGAGCTTAATCCAGCGTCCACTAGCGACGGAAGATGGGGAGAAGGTACGTCTTTTTTTCGTCCTTAGACGATTTACACAATACCGTGCACAACAGCTCCTCATCACTGATCAGTGCTGGCTTATTATCAACCTACTTAATTGCACTTGACGTTTGAGCGCGGCTCGCCTAATTGTAATTGGTCAACGGATTGCACACGACCATATTGGCCGCGCTTCAAAGATTTTCATACTCGCCGTCTTGTACTCTTGCTTTCGAAAACCCCCCTGGCTCCACAACGTTGCCCTATTCGTGCTCCCACGGAATCTATTAGAGTAGATTTGGGACATAGCCATGGTTAATATAGTACATAAGAACAGGTACAGATCTCCCCCTTTTATTGACAGCAACTCACCGGAACAGCTGGACGATCCAGAACTCCGTGGCCGATATATATAAATGATCTAAAGGCATCTACGCGCGACACACGTTCAGAACTTTGGCGCGGCGTCAATTCTTGACCGGTATCCAAGCGTGCGAAGGCACAAAGATGCATCACTCGGCGTGCCAAGGAAGCTTTGATCACGCCGCGACACCGGCGACACGTTTTCGACGAGTTGTACCTTTTGATACGGCTTCACGCACATTGCACTCGCTAAACACATTCACACGGCGTCGGTTCTTGGTCGGTATCCAAGCGTGCGAAGGCACAGAGACACGGCGCTTCGGCGTGCCAAGGATGCTTTGAACACGCCGCCAGCCCTTCCTTTCGACGCGTTGTGCCTTTTTCCTGCGACACTGCACTTTCGTAAACTTTTCCACGTGTTCACAACGGCGAGTCTCAACAATAAACAGAGTCTTCAAAAAACTTCTTCGGCGAATGACGACGAACGAGTAGAAAACGTGTCGTCAGCACGCTGGAAAACCGCAGCAAAGGCTAGCAAAAGTGGCAAATCGTATCCCAAGCGAGTGAGGCCCGGTGGCTTCACTTGCGGGAGCGGCAAGCGCGATCCAGCAATTGTCATTGAGATCAGTGCGACCGGCGACGTTTAAAAACATCGCTTCGGTTAGGGCAATGAACTTTTTAAAGCTAACGGTAACTGCTCGATTTTTTCTTTCCATATTGGTTTATTATTATTACCTAGCTTACTATTTTTTCTAAAAATATTAACATTAACACACTCAATTTAGTTAATTGCGATTCTTTTCAACCCTGTTTTTTGTTTGTTTTTGTTTTACACCTTCAGTTGTCGCCATCCGGCTTGAGGAGCGCTGTGTATGCGCGATTACCGGAAGTGGCCTTGAGTGGGAGGAGATTCTTTGTCCGGCTGCCGTGGCAAACGGTCGCAGAGTCATGGGCTCCGTCGGAGCTGAGCAAGCGGCAATCCCTTGCCGCGGTGATAAGGTTGTTGATTTGCCCGCTGATTATCGTTTCCTGCTACCCACGCTGCCAGCTAGCGACCCGCTGAAACGCACGGTCTTTCTGCATGCCGATATTGGAGCAAGACCATACCGAATCGAGGATTTTAAAGGGGTAGTGAAACGAAATTTTAGCGCCGATCTTGTTGCATAAATATGGGCTAGGGACAGGCACCACCTCGGAAATATAAATATTGCTCTGTAAAACACAGGAGTACTAATTTTAAACATAATTAAACGATTTCAAATTCTCATCTGGTGGATGGGGGGGGAAGTTCTCGTGACATCACTTGTGCCATAATAGCAGCGCCGTTCTGCGGCAATACGGCATGCCGGCAGAATTCGCCTAGGCCTGAACGCGTTTGCAAAGCCTTGGCGGAGAAAGCCAAAGCGTAGTTGGCCACAGTGAGCTCGTTCTCGTTGCGGCTCTTTGCACGACACGACCCGAGCGTGCTTCTGGCACGGCCGGTATTAGTTGCTACGAGTCGCGAGCTGCGAGCCGACGTTAAAAAGGATATGTTTGAAGTACGAGGGTGTCAGCAAGAGCCACGCAAATACCTGCTCGCACTCGGAGCGGACGCGCGCGTTTGATCGAAGTGCTGGATTTGCTCTGTTAGACCGCGTTTCGGTAAGCGCTTCTGGACCGATCTTTTACGATTGCAACTCGATACTGACATGACACTCGGCAAAGAAAGCTTAGACTGACATCGCGTAGCTACAGTGACGTAGCGTCGAGTCAGAATAAAAATGGCATACTAATAACAGAGTGTACATACCGAGTTGCGAAGGTAATCCGTATGGCGTTTATTTGAGCTCTATATCACACAAAACAAGGAGATAGAATCAATGAAAGTCCCTTTTCGACGACAGCGTTCGTCACCGCGTTCTCGGAAAACAAGGAGATCGAGATGACAAGGGGAAAATATTTACCTCTGAAATTTAGTTCAGGGATAAAACTACTCATCCGGTAAGGGTCCACAAGGGTCGCGCGAGCATATTCCATTCAGCAGGCCAGCCGGTCATGGACAGACGGTCTTGGCCAAGGACCGCCGGAGCAACGGTGCGCCGAGTCGATGTTGCTGCTAGGCCTACTATATTCTGCCGTCGACGCGCCACCAAGTGACAACGCTCGTAACCACAACATTCACGCCGTAGCCTTTCCCGTCTGGCACAAGTGACGTCACGAATGCGCCCAATATCCCAAGACGTATCGCGCACTCCGATGGCCGATTTTTGAGCGCGCGCCCAATCGGGCCCATTAGGGTGAAAAATATAGCCATCCGTTCAAAATACAAACGCGCGATTATGATTTATGAATATCATTGATCATATTGAACCTATTTCTGACCATAATAGGTGTATTTCAAGTTTCGCTTCAGTATCCCTTTAAGGAACCTCTGCGGCAGCTCGGCATTCTCAAGGAGGTTGCTGGAATGGGGGTGTTCCAGATGGGACACGTCTGGACTGTTCGTCTCAAGTCAACCGCTGCTAAGGACCAGCTGTTGAAGCCCGGCAAGTTCCAGGTGAAGGGCGGTTGGTGTGTGCCGATCCATCCTGAGCGGCGAGAGGTACGCATGAAGTTTCATTGGGTGCCGCTCGACGTACTGTTACGATGCGATGTTATCGCTTATCGCTGTCGCGGCCGCAGCAGAACTGCTGAGTCAGGGGGGCGTACCTCTGGTGCTTGCTGCCGATATAAGCGGCATCGCCGGCAAGCTTTGCGCTCTTTTGGTTCCGGCTGCCGAACAATAAACGCTGCCAAATAAACGTCGGTCTCCGGATTCGTCGATTCTCCCGGAGAAACGTAACAGCTGGTGGCAGCGGTGGGATGGATCGACGACGCCGGGTTCCATGGGTGCTGTCGGTGAGTGCCTGAGGCTTCCTTTCCGTTCACCGAGCAGCTTAAGTGTTTAAGGCAGTTAGTTCTGTGGTGTCGCCAAACGGTTGATACGGGCGCTGGGCAAAAGTAGCCAAACTTTTTTGGAAATTTCTGAACATGGATCCGATAAATCTCGCGGCGATTGTGAAGCCCGATTTAATGCTCTTAGCGGAAGAGCTGGGTGTTAAAGTGGTCAAGGCCATGAGAAAGCCCGAGATTATCAAGGCCATTGAAGATTGTGGCGCGGGCGCCGACGAAATTTCCGAGTGTTGGAGCGAGGTGCAGAAGAGACGAAGGGAAGCGGAACTTCGCGCCGCCCAACGTGCCGCTCAAGAGGAGCTTCACGCGGCTCAAGAGGGGCTTCGCGTTGCTCGAGAAAAACTTGAGCTAGAAATGCTTCAACGTAACTTTGACGCTGGTGAGGCCATTGTGGTGGATAACAGCTCGAAAAAGTTTGACATGCGAGCCCTTTTGCAACCTTTTCGCGTCGGCGGAGACATGGGTCTCTATTTAGTAAATTTCGAACGGGTTTGCGTTAAGATGGGTCTTGTAGAGTCGAGCTGGCCTCAAAGGCTCTTGAGTTTACTGCCAGCGGAGGTGGCCGACGTTTTGGCCCGACTAGATCCTACAGCAGCCGATGACTACGCGTCCGTAAAGTCTTGCCTGCTTAGGAAGTTCAGGTTGTGGCCTGAAGCTTTTCGACAGAAATTTCGAGAGACGAGGAAAGGACCGGATGAAAGTTACGCGGAGTTCGTTTATAAGCTTAAAGGCTTTCTGGAAAGTTGGCTCCGTGGTGTCAACTCTTACGAGGATCGTGAAAAGGTGCTGGAGCAGATAGCACTAGAGCAGTTTCTCTCCTGTATTCCGACAGGTCTAAAGGAGTGGATTCAGGATAGACCGGAAGTAGAAACGGTGCAAAAAGCTGCAGATTACGCGGATGAGTACTGCTCTAGGCACGGGAAGAAAGTTGTTGAAGAAAACCGTAGCTCAAAGCGTTTCTACGAACGATGCGGACCTCGCACGTTCGTGAAGAAAGACGCCGAAAAGGGCAAAGAGAGTGAAGTACCGACAAAGGGAGTGTCTGATTCAGACGAAAAGAAACGTAAAATGAAGGCGTTCGAGGAGCGTAAACCAATAGTGTGCTACAGGTGTAAACAGCCTGGTCATGTCGCTTCTGGTTCCCGCGTCCCTAAAGTTGCTCCCGTTAACTTGTGTCTGGGAGAAGCGGAGGACCTACTCAGGCCGTATCTGTACGACATGAAAGTAAATGGTAAATTCTGCAAAGGTTTACGAGATACCGGCGCCACGTATGATCTAGTACACTCTTCGCTAGTGGAGCAAGAACATTTTACAGGCGACTGTGTGTGGATCCGTCAGGCCTTGGAAAATCGGGCAGTTAGTCTGCCCGTAGCTAAGGTAAAACTAAACGGACCTTTCGGAGTAGTGGAAACGGAAGCAGCTGTTTCTGACGGAGTGCTTCCAAACTGTCCGTACATACTGTCAAACAGAACTGCAAGGCAATTGAGCGAGTCGGGTATACCGCTTGACATGAATCCTGTTCTAGTCGTCACGCGCTCAATGACAACTAGTGCAGTGCCGGAAACACTTCAGACGGAAGCGAGCGCGACGACTGGTAAAACCAGCAGCGGGCCCGATGAAGAGCCGAACGAAGGAGCTGACATGACCACGCTGGTTTCGCCGGAGAGCAGCAATTTTCGTGCGCTAGCCGGTGTAGATAAGCTTACGCTTATCGCCGAACCGTCATCCGACCCGAGTCTTTCAAAGTGTCGTGATAGCGTGGGAAAAGAAATCAAGCCGAACATCTCCTTCTTTATGAGCAACGGCATTCTTTACCGTAGTTTCAAGGACAAATCGGGGAACGAGGTAGATCAGATTGTCGTTCCATCCAAGTATAGAATTGCATTACTCGAGCTTGCTCACGGAGAAGGGTGGTCGGGACACCTAGGAATCACAAAGACCAAGTGCAGGCTTTTGGCAGAATATTATTGGCCGGGCTGCTTTAAGGAGGCTGAGCAATTCGTCCGTTCTTGCGACACCTGCCAAAGAACAGGACGACCAAACGAGCGCCGAAAGGCGCCTCTCACACTAGTGCCCATAATCACGGAACCTTTCAAAAGGCTAGTGATAGACGTCGTAGGACCCCTACCTATAACTAAGACGGGTTTTAGGTACCTTCTAACGATATTATGCCCAGCCAGCAAGTTCCCAGAAGCCGTTCCAATGAAAGAGCAGACATCGGTCGAAGTAGTAGATAACTTGCTCTCGGTCTTTTCTCGGATCGGGTTTCCTAGTGAAATTCAATGTGATCTGGGTAGCGTTTTTACCAGTGCTCTAACAACCAGCTTTTTCGAGAGGTGTGGCATTAAGATTGTTCACAGTTCTGTAAGCCACCCGCAAAGTAACTGAGCGTAGAGAGAGCGCACTCGGTAATGAAGCGCATTCTCAGGGCCCTCTGTCACGAACAGAAAAAAGAGTGGGACTTGGCATTGCCCGCTATGCTTTTCGCGTTGCGAACCGTTGCTCACGAGTCCACTGGTTTCACGCCAGCGGAACTGGTCTATGGACGCAATTTGCGTTCACCTTTGCGGTTGCTGCGCGAGGGCTGGGAGGGTGAAGCCGAGAACCCAACAGTGGTGGAGTATGTGCTTTCCTTACTAAACCGTCTCCACAAAACGCGTGAGCTAGTTGAGGCTAACCTGGGAAAAGCGCGGTCGCGAGGTAAAACCTACTATGACAAAAACAGCCGCCTCCGAACGTTTAAGGTGGGTGACCAAGTCTTACTTTTGAGTTCTTCTAAGGCTCATAAGTTGGAATTGCAATGGGAAGGACCAGCAACGGTCCAGCAGAGGCTATCAGAGACAAATTACGTGGTAAAACTGCCAGGTCGCAGAAAAGAGGTCCGCATATACCATTGCAACCTCATGAAGCCGTACGTGGAAAGGGTGCAAGTAATCAGCATTGCACTAAACCAACCAGAGGAAGTTCCTACACGGATTCCTGAGCTGGGAAAAACCGACGGGATCCTGACAATCGCCGAAGTCGTAGAGGCCGCAGTCGATAAGACGCTCACCCAAAACCAGTTTTCGGATCTTACGGCATTAATTGGCAAATACCAAAAATTGTTTTCAACTATTCCCGGAAGAACGAGTCTAGTCGAACATGACATCGAAGTGAGGACTCGGTCAAATATTCAGTGTAAGGCCTATCGCTTTTCCCCCCGCCAAGAAAAGCTATTAAAGGAGTCCGTAGATCAAATGCTAGAGCTAGGGTTGATTGAGCGGTGCGAGAGCGACTTCGTGTCTCCTATGATTCTGGTAGAGACTCCAGGAAAAGAACCTCGTCCCTGTGTGGACTACCGAAAGTTAAACGCGGTAACGGTAACAAAAGTCTACCCAATCCCTAATATCGAAACTTGCCTTGAGAAAGTAAGCAAAGCCAAGTTCATCTCAACCATCGACCTCGTTAGAGGTTACTGGCAAGTGCCACTTACCGCGAACGCCAGTAACCTTGCCGCCTTCATGACCCCGTTTGGTGTTTTTAAGCCGCTTGTCCTGAGCTGTGGACTGAAAAACGCACCCTATGCGTTTTCGAGACTGATGAATCTGGTACTGGTCGGAACCGAGTCTTTTGCGTTGCCGTACCTAGACGACGTCGCTATATTTTCGGACACGTGGAGAGAGCACGTTCAGCAGCTAGAACAGGTGTTCTCGCGCCTGCAAGACGCAGGACTTACAGTCAAGGCGAAAAAGTGTAAGTTTGGCCGAGGCGAAGTATCGTATCTCGGACACGTAGTCGGTCAAGGAATGAGACGTCCACAAGAACTCAAGGTTCAGGCCATTAAAGAGTTTCCCTTGCCACAAACAAAAAAAGATTTGATGTCCTTTATCGGACTGGTGAATTACTACCACCAGTACATTCCCCAGTTCTCTGAAAAGGCGAGTCCCCTCACGGATGCGCTCAAGAAAACCAAGCCCACTAAGATCAAATGGGACGATCGCAAGATACATGCGTTTGAGGCTCTTAAGTTAGCCTTGGCGACTCAGCCCGTATTAGTCAGCCCTGACTACACAAGACCCTTCTTAGTGCAGTGCGACGCCAGCGAAAAAGGACTCGGCGTCGTTCTAAGCCAAGAAAATGAAGGGGAAGAGCACCCCGTTTTGTTTGCCAGCAGGAAGCTAACTTCAAGGGAGCAAGCCTACAGTACCATCGAAAAAGAATGCGCTTGTCTCGTATGGGCTGTAGAAAAGCTTCGCTGCTATCTCTATGGTTCGGAGTTTATTTTAATTACAGATCATAGACCGCTCACATGGCTTCAGCAGCTGTCCCCCAAAAACGGTCGCTTGTTACGCTGGAGCTTGACCCTCCAGGAATATTCTTTCTTGGTTCGACATAAAAAAGGAAAGCTTCATGCGAACGCAGATTGTCTGAGCCGAGCGCTCTAACCGGCGCACAGTGCGATTTTCTGTTTCTTTTGTCTCATCTGCACATTTGTAAATAGTTCCATTCAATTTCATTCATTAGCTGTCTATTCCCGAAAGATCGGGAACGATATTTTCAAAAAATTCTGGCTGCGTTTGGGGCATATTTTGTAAGCTATTTCTTTTGAATAATTCGTGCTCTCGGTGAGTGGAAAGGGCGTTTCGGGTGCCTCCGCAGTTTCTGTGGTGCTTGGTTGTTGTTGGCCCTTCTCATTCCCCTCAGAAGCACGACGGACCTCTGTTGACATCCCGACGTCCTGGCACCGACGGCACGTGACAGCCGCTGCTACTCCTGGGCCGCTGGCGACTTTGGCTCATGGTCGCAAGGAACGCCATCACCGCTCCTTCCTGCCCCTCTCGGACCGCACAGTCGACGCTTCCGACCAGTCAAGGACACTGAAAACTGCAGTGACGGTGTTGGGCCGCGCGTCGACGCTTCTGGCCAGTTTCGCAGACGGTGTTGGGCCCTGCGTCTCCAGGACTTCC